GCATAGGTAACTTTTACATTGAAATTTATGAAGTAGACCGTTCAAATCATTAGCACAAATTTGGGTTAGTGCCCACAAGAATGACAGGGGTAGAAAAAAAAAATACGAATAGACAAAAGTATTGAAGAGAGTTTATCCCATAAAACCTTTGTTTGGGATATGGGTTGACTTTTTCATTTTTTGAATATTTTAATCTGAGATTAAAAAATCTCGTTTAGAATGAATTTTTAGTTTTTTTTTTTTTTGACACGGGAATGATGCGTCCATAAGCAAAATTACGAGAATGCCCTTCACCCACAGTGAGAGATGAAATGAAGGAAATGAAACTGGGGGCTTTGCCTGCAAATGAGGTTTGTCGGTTGTGACTAAAGTAACTAATTTTGTCGTATGTTGCTAAAGTAGTCCTAAGTGCGTATGCCAAGCATAGCCTTTGTCAAGTCAAGTGAATATGGTGCAGTCAGGGGACTCACATCGTGTGAGACATATATATGGCAGGAGCGTTAGTTTTTACTTGTTCAAGTTATAAATATTGTCCAGTTTCCGATTGAAGCTCAATATATAAATAAAGAGAAATGATTTTAGATATTAATGCTGTGATTTCAAATGGCTCAAAATCGAGATCATCAACGCAAGCGATCAGAACGAGGTTTTTGGAAACAATCTTGATAGTTTCTTTCTTATTCGCCACAATTCTCTTAGTCATTCCTTACCAATACAAAAATGGCAACCCTGTTCCCACCGTGATATTCAACGGCATCCCCTCTTCCTGGTTTCATGCATTTGTTGTATCGCTCGTGTATGCCTTCACTGGAGCCCTCACCGCTTTGTTAATTCATGACACCGCCGCCGGCTCATTTCTTGCCAAATTTTGTGAGCTTGTTTCGATCCTTTGTGTGACGTCGGCTGTGTCTTTGTTGGTTTGGTCCTTCTTCATTCTCAGTTTTCCAAAGCCATGTATGGGATTGGAAAGAATTTAAGAGTTTAGAATTTACTTTTCTTCTTTTTTCCTATACTTTTCGACATTTTTTCAATTGACTCAAATTTGATGTGAATTTATAATTTTGTGTCAATTAATTTATGTCAATTACGCCCGACTAATAATATCAGTTGGTATTTTTTTTTTAAATGTGCATTATATGTCATATTTTTAAAGGTAAAATTATAATTCAATGATTATTTTTTATCAAATATCTTATTTGGTATTATCTATTGAACCAAATTGACTAAAAATTAAAATTAATGATCAAAATCAAACTAATTGAAATTGTAAATACCAAAATAATATAAGAAAAAAAATACAAAAATTATCAATTTTTATTTTTTATTTTTATTTTTTTCTACTTTTTTACAATTATTTTTTTAGTACCTCCTCACCTAAAACAAAATTCTAAAATCCAATTACATATCAACTAATACAATACGTAACGACTTATATTTGCAACCATGGCTACTCCTTCTTCCCTCTCCCTTTGCAACTTCTACCATCTTGTTTATGAGGTATTTTTTAGTAAGAGATTATTACTGGAGTGGTATTAAGTTGCAAATATAATACCCATAAGGGTAACCCAATTAGTTGAGGGCAAGGGACCAGAGGCCTAGGAGTATGCTCCTCTCTAGGTCTCAGGTTCTAATCCCACCCCCAGCTAGCTATTGACGGGCCACTGCGTCTCTGCTTGGTCAATCAACTCGGGCCATGACATTAGTCGAGGTGCGACACTCCGAAGGGTGCTGGCCTGAACACTCAGTTATCAAAAAAAAAAAAAAATTGTAAATATAATATAAATTATGTTTATTTACATACTATATTAGTGATTGGTTGAGATTAAATTTATGAAATTACAAAATACCACCTCTCTCATGGATTGCTAACCCCCTTTTTAAAGGAGTTTCATAGTCCATGTGACTTAACCCTATAGAAAATTTTCAAAACAAACATGGCCTGAGAGCTATATGTGGAGCTCTTTGAATAAATAATTCTTGTTTTTTTTTTTTTTTTTTTGTGTGTGTGTGTTATAAAATGCTTCTTTATCATGAAAATCATTTGTTAATAAAATTTATAATTTTTTTTTTTTTTTTTTTTTTTTGTGTGTGTGTGTGTTATAAAATGCTTCTTTATCATGAAAATCATTTGTTAATAAAATTTATTGAACAGAGTACGGAGATCTTGTGATTAACTGTGTAAGTCCCATAATTCAAATCATTTCAATTTCTTCATGTTGTGTTCTTGTAAAGAGATGCAAAAATTCTTTATGTCTTTTACTTTTTCTATTCATTCTCTCTCTTTTTCTTTAGTTAAGAAATAATAAGTTGAATGAATTGAGGGGTACGAGGAAGAAGAGAGGTTGAGGAAAGGGAGAGATCATTCTTTTACAAGTCTAGGTAAATAAAAATTGCAACTACAATCATTTTGAGTGTATTCTACAGCTTACAAATCTTTTTTGATTAGCAAAACAAAAGCTTTATTGATGAAAAGAGGCACAAATACATGCAAAATTTACATCAACAAAGAATGGAAAATTCAAAAAGCATTATATCTAATTAGCACTTGACCCAAGATTGGTGAGAAACCAATCAAAAGTAGCCAAAGAAAACCAGAGAAACAAGAAAAACAACAACAGACCAAAGAAAAACAAATGCTAGCCCTCTGCAGCAACACACAGAGCAACAAACCAGTGGCCATTGATCCTGCTGCCAAGAACTCCACCCAACACACACTTCCAAACAACAAAACAACCAATCATTTGGACTGAGAGCCAACTGGTGGTGCCAAAACAAAACAACTAAACAGAGCATCTGTTACCGAACACCATTCTTTATCCATAGCATTCAACCTCCAAAACTAATCCAAAGCTTTGTATGAACTACTCTAGACAACTCATTAAAGTTGTGAGTTCAAACACCATTAGAATAACACCACGCAGCAGAAAAGCGACCATTCAGCCACCATTCCTGAAACTCCAGCAGACCAGTCCACAAATAGCCCCAATCACTGCACAATCACAGCTGACCAGTCCACAAACAATAGAAGCCAACCACAAACAGCCCCAACTCAGCAGGCCAAACCAACAACATACAACCTTAAATATCCTTTGATAGGGTTCTAATTTGTTGGGTATAGGAAGCAAAATCCTGTACTGAGTAGCAAATCCCTGCAACTTTGCTTTTAATCCACAAGGCTACTCTGACTTTAATCAGTTCCTGAAACTCACCAAAATTTGTCTGAGCATTAGTGAACTTACACTCATTCCTGTGCTTCCAAACAAACCATACCACTGCCAACAACAAAGATTTCCACAATCTTGCTTCCAACTTTTCGTACTGAAAGGCAGTCCACCATTCTAACAATCCTACAAAAGACCCTGGTATGGCCCAGTAAATTCCCCACCAATTCATCAAATGGGACCAAACCTTTCAAATTAAAGGGCAACCCATCAGCACGTGATCTAATGTTTCCAATTCAGTATTACAGAAGATACATAGGTTGCTCATATTGGCTCCAAGCACACCAAGCTATTGAAGATAAGTACAGGTTTTGATCCTACCTTTCCACACTAACCAGCCCAAGAATTGAACTTTAGGTGGAGAGATGTTTGTCCAAATCAAATCAGTAAGGTGAGTATCCATACCAGTTGTTGAATCACTTCTCTTGTAAAGTGTAGACACCAGAAATTTACCAGATGATGATGCCCTTCATTAAGCCAGTCCTCATGGTTACTCAACACAGGGATGGCTGCATTCAACAAAATATACAAGCTTTGAACCTCCTCTTCTTCCCAAGCAAATAGTGGTCTTCTGAATCTCAACTTCCATCCATCAGAATTTCATTTCCATTCAATACAGTCCTTTAAAGAACTGAGCTTATCAATTAACAAGTTGTATAATCTGGGATAAACTTCTGAAAGTGCTTTGGTCCCCATCCAGACATCAATCCAAAATTTGGCTCTATTGCCATTACCTACAATTACCTCTGAATTAGCTGCATAAAAATTCTTGAGACTGTGATTATAATCAGCAACCTGCAATATGTCCAACCAAGTCCTAGAGTACTTAGTCTCAAGTTTCTGACTGGGAAACCATCCACCACCAGAGATTCCATAGTTATAACAGATAGTTCTTCCCCATAAGGTTGTGGTTTCAGTTGCAAATCTCCACCACCACTTTGCTAAAAGACAGTCATTTAAATCTCTAACCTTCCTAACTCCTAGGCTCCTTCTCTTTTTATTCTTGGTTACCTCTTCCCATTTCACCAAATGGATCTTCCTTTTCAAATTAGAGCCTCCCTAGAGAAAGAAAGCTTGGATTCTATCAATAGCTCTTGCAACACCTTCAGGTAATTTGAAAAGAGACATATAATAAACTGGCAAGCTGGACAGAACTGATTTGATGAGTGTAAGCCTACCCCCAAACGAAAGAAATCTCATTTTCCAAGACGCAAGCCTCCTCTGACACTTCTCAATTATAGTTGCGCATGTACTCTTCCTCCTAGGATTGGCACCCAAAGGAAGACCTAAATAAGTGAATGGTAATGATATCTTCATACAATTCAATTTAGATGCAAAGTCAGTCACCATCTCATCCGGAACTCCTATTCCACAAATATTACTTTTATGATAGTTTATCTTGAGGCCAGACATGATCTCAAAACATCTAAAGATCCTTTTCACATTCAATACCTCCACCCATTCAGCTTTGCAAAAGACTATTGTATCATCAACAAATTGCAAATGTGATATGGTTTCTTCACTAGTCCCCACTGGTACACCCTTTAAAAGCCCCAACTCTTTGGCTCTGGCTAGCAAAATGTTTAAGCCCTCAACCACAATGATGAAGAAGAAAGGTGACAGAGGGTCCCCTTGCCTGAGACCTCTTTCAGGATTGAATTCAGCAGTTGAGGAACCATTTACTAGGATTGAGGTTCTTGCCGTAGTCACACAAGCTTTCATCCAGGTAATCCATCTATTGCCAAACCCAAAATTACCCAACATAGAGAATAAAAAATCTCAATTCACAGAGTCATAAGCTTTCTCAAAATCAAGCTTTAGAATTAGTCCTTTTTTCTTCCTCTTCTTCCAATCATCCACCACTTCATTTGCAATAAGCACCCCATCTTGTATATTCCTGTCCCCAACAAAAGCTAATTGCACATCTCCTATGATCTTAGGAAACACCAACTTTAGCCTTGCAACAAGCACTTTAGCTAATATTTTATATACAGAACCAATTAAACTAATTGGTCGAAAGTCAACCAAACTGGTAGGATTTTCTTTCTTTGGGATAAGAGCCACAAAAGAGTTATTCAGCTCTTTAAGTAGCATCGCACGCTCATGGAATTTCATAAAGAAGCGCATAAATTCATTCTTGAAAACTGGCCAGCACTTTTGAAAGAACATCAGATTAAACCCATCCGGGCCAAGAGCTTTATTCCCATCACAGCCTTTAATTGCAGCCCAGACCTCTGTTATAGAAAATTCAACTTCTAAAACTGTAGATGATTGTTCACTATCAATATGTTGGAAGGGTTTGTAGACACCCCATTTTTTACCGTCCTCAAGACTTGGACGTCACCGGTGGAACACTCGGTGATCATCCATGTTCGTGTTCGTTTTGAGTTCCCAGAGGCCTTGGTTGCGCGCCTTGCCTCAGGATCTCTCAACTTGTTTGTCTTGCATTTGGTTTTGCACCAAATACTTGTGCTTTTGCTTTGAGGGGCAAGGAATGGCTTGTTCGCCATTCCCACACCCCACCGGCTGTCCCCTCACATCACCGGCCGTTTATTGGTGCCACCGGCAGTGGTTTCTTAAAACCAATGGCCGGTCGGCACTATATATGGTCGGCCGGCACTTTATTTGGCCGGTGGCCTATTTTGTTGGCCGGTGTGATCCTTTTGCACCCTTCAGACTTGGTGCATGCCAGCTGTGCCAGCTGGAATGCACCAACACTCCTCCCCGTGCATGAAGTGGCTATTTTGAGCCTTTGCACCCCTTTTCCTTCTAGAAGGTTGAACCCTTTGGCCAAGCTTCCTAAGCTTGGCCAGCTGTCCTAGCTTCCTCAAGAAACCTTGACTCCTTTGCCCCCTTTGCCCCTTTCACTTAGCTTCTTTGAGAAGCTTAAACCATTTCCCTTTGCCTATATAAGGACCCCTCTTCTCCCATTGTCAAAGGTTGGTGGTTTCGAAAGAAAAACCAGAGCTTATACATATATATATATATATATATCTGATATATACACCCTCTCCCTCTATATTTTCCTCTCTCTCCTCCCTTGTGTGTGTTTTCTTGGCCTAAAAGTGCATTTTGACCTTACTTTTGCACTAATACACACACCATTACACCTTGCTCCGAGATTGAGAGGCATTGAGGGTTGTTTTTTGAGATTTTGGACTGATTTTGCTTAGTAGAGTGTGGCTGGACCAACTGTTCTTGAAGTGTTCTTCAAGGGTAAGACTTTCACTTTATTATCCCCGATCTTGCATTGGTTCTTGACCTGTCTTACATGTTGATTCAAGCTTTGAGTATAACATAAAAAAGTCTTACATTTTCATGCTTAAGAACTTTCATTAAGGGTGTTTTGGGTTTTGGGGTCGAACTCACCCTCTTAGGCCTTGTTTGGCCCTTTTGGTGCTTCCATTGTTAGGCTTTATTTGCTTGAGTGTTTGGTTCTTTTCACCACTGAAATCCAGTGGATTTTCAGTGGTAAAGAAGAGGGTTTGAGGTCTTGCATAGGGGAGGGACACCCCTCTCCCTTGGTCTCTCTCTTGTTTGCATATTTGGCTCAATGTGGTAGCATGCATGTCTAATCTTGTTTAGCTTCATTTCAGAGCTTATTTGGTGTTTATAAAACATGTTTTACCTCTGTCTCATGTGGGTTTGTTGGTCTCTTTCATGCATATTATACTTGCTTTATATCTCCTCAAGGTTGCCTAGAGGTATGCCATACATTAAGGCCATGATTCTCGAATGATCTAGCCTAATATTATGAAGGTATTAACACCATTTTGCCATGTTCAAGATCTGTTGGCCACTGTTTCAATCATGCTTGCCATGTTTGGTGTCACCTTTTTGCATTTTGGCTTGAGAGCCTTAAGGGTATGGGTCATGAACATGCATTGGTTAGGCTATTTCGGTGATTTGGAATCACTTAGCATATCATTTCAGTCCCTAAACCATGCTTGTATACTTGCATTCATCACTCCTCTCATGCTTTGAAGTTGTACCCTCTTATGCCTTGAAACGTGCATTGTGTATGCCTAGGTGTTTGTTTCATTTGGGATGCCATAAGTGTGGGTTTTGGAGCACTTTTTGCATGCTAAAATTCTGTTTTTGGTTGTATAGTTCATGCCATGTTTGTTTGGGTTAGTGGTGGTAGAATGCCCTTTGTTATACCTTAGCTTTGGCCCCCCTTTTGGCTTGCATGTTTGTAGTGCATTTTGTCCATCACTTGAGGCACTTTTAGCCACTGTTTTTGGGGGTGTTTGAGGCCTCCCATTTCAGTCTAAGTCCCTTCTTGGACATGGTTGTATGTTTGACTTGTTGCCTCTAATTGCATGCATGCATTGTACCATATTAGCATTACGTGATGAGTTGCATTGTAGCATTGCATATTAGGAACATTGTATGCTTACCATGATATGTTGCATTACATTTGGCATGCCTCGCTTTTTTTTTGTGATATGTTGCATTTTTGAGCCATGTTTGCATAACATGGATTACATTGCTTAGTTTGGGGTGTCAAACCAAGTGTGAGGGTTAAGAAGTGTTCATACTACGAGTGATGTAACATGCCTTAACTCTCAGTCACCGAGACCCTTGACCTTGACATGATAGGGTCTTGGTCTTCATTCGTGTGTTGCATGCATTTTCATTGAATCGCAACCTTGGCTCCTTAGGCCATCACGCATCAAAATGCATGATTGATGGCCCGAAGGTCGAGGGTCATGCTCCCTTGAGTCCCTTGCATGATAGGGAGTGTGCCCGCGCATACATTTGCTAGAAATTCCATGCCATACACTGTCTGTCCTTGTTGCTGTCAAAAACCAGTTTCTGCAGGGAGTTATTGCCAACCGGCACTGTAGAGTGCCGAGCCAGTCATGGATTGGTGGCCGATAATATGAAACCCCAGCCGATGGATAAGTTCCATGGCCGGTGTGTATTCCTTCAGCCGATGGTGCCCTACAGGGTTCAAGGAACCTGTCCCAGGATTTTTGCAGTTTTCAGAGAAGCAGTGCAGTGTAAACAGAGGCAGCAGTGGTATGGTATGGGCTTTCGGGCAAGATAAATCTGAGCATGCATCATTCACGCATCCCGAGGTGGAAGCTGCGGCCATCTTCTCTTTGCATTTAATTTGTTAATTAGATTAGAAATTTTGTAATAATTAATTTAGTATTATTTATTCGGACTGTAATATTTATTGGACCCTCCGAGTGAGGGCAATTGTGTAATAAGTGTGTGTGAGTGTGTGCATGTCTTCCAACCCCACGTCTTTCTTCCCTTTTATTTACCCGCTTATGATGGTAGACTAGGACATATTTAAATTAGCATACCTTATGCTATGCATGCGTGCATCCACACATTTGTCTTACATGCATCGGGCTCGGCGCATCACTCTAACTGCATTTGTATTTTAATTTCAAATTGAATACGCATTAGTTGTAGCATTTCACATGTCATTGTAGATTAGCCGAGCCTATCTTAGTTGGGTTTTGCATGTGTTGCATTAGCCATCTTAACATGAACTAGGATCATGCATATGAGTACTAACTAGTTTCTATTTTGGCTTGGAGTACTCTGTAAGTTCTTTTGCTTTAGCATCCTTGCATGCTTGTGAGTGTTGCCATAATTGCATGATTACCATGAGGCTAGCTACTTATGTGATATAACTGCTTGAATGCCTGTGGATGGAGGTTGAATTACCTAAATTGGAATAATACATTAAAACTACGAGTTTTAAGCCCACTAGATAGCGGCAAAACCATCTTTTCTAAAGCCCACTTGAGGGTGGCAAAACCTGCATTTTAGCCTACTTGCGGGTAGCAAACCATTTTCAAAACAAACAGGCTATGTTTTGTTCCAATTTAGGCGAGTTGGTCTATACTTGTTTGATGTGCGCATAACATAGTAATTCTAGGCTAATAACCGGAATAAGAACACATAACGTTTTCAAAATTGGAAATCATGGTTAGTAGAGGCCAATCTTCGGATCGGGCGAGAGGGGGTGCTCATAGCTGACCTTCCCCAATCGTACCCGAGTTCCTGAGCAGAGACAACTTTGGTGATGACGGACACGTAGCCTTTGGCACCGAGTCAGGGTTTCCTAAATCCCCCCTTAAAAAATATTTAGGTGACGACTCTGTATCTGGCAAAGCAGTCCATGTTTGGCACTTCTTTTCTAAAAATCTGTTTTCTCAAAACGATTTGCCAGATTTGGACTCTTTGGTTCAGATTAAGAACCGTGACACAAATCGAGTCCGAACAGTAGCGGGGTCCCTCGCGGACGTGTTACAGTTTCTGGCGACTCTGCTGGGGATTTTAGATAGCTTAACTCGAACTCGTGATATCCTGTTTTGAATTCATTTATGTGTTTCTTTGCATTGCATGTGCATTGGTGCGCCTAGGACACCGTGTTTGCCATCTGCCATTCCTGAACGGTTTGCCGGAGGCTTGTCTTGTCAAGACATGACCATAAGGCTGACCGGTTATGGGCTCTGACAGTATGGGAACACAAACCCCGATTTTTACCGGGGCACCCTTTTCGACCATTCGACCTAGTGCATATTCGAAATCCATAGTGACCATTCCAAATTAGGACAGGTTGCTTACCCGATGTTCGGTTGTTTGAAAACTGCTGCGTGCATAGTGAAACCCTAGCTCCTGACAAAATAGGACCCCAACATAGGGGTGTTTTGGCTCTCACTTATCTGCTATGTGCTTTAGAGTGTATCTCTACAGGAACGTACGTATCAGTTTGCAAGATTGAGTATTAGGCCCGAGGGCACCAGTATCAGTGTTGTTGAGAAATTAGTTATCTGCGGGTATCAAGTTCAGTTTTGGGAACGATGATTTGAGAACAATGATCAGTATCGAGGAACAGTGTGTTCGGCTTACCAACTGTGTGTTATAAATACCCAACTGTGCGTTGTGTGTGTTTATTTTACACCGTTATGCTATCCGATTGTTTGGTTATTTATTGCTTTATTTATCTTTTTGCTAGGTAGTTTAGAACAATTGCTTCCAACCCGGTAGATATTCCCCAAGCACTCTGGACTAGAGGTCGTCGACTCCATCGATCCGAGGATCTGGTAGGTGGACAACCAGTGTACCATTCTTTACCCCCAGTTACTAAACGAAGGGCAGTTAGGCCAAGGGCATCAGTTCAGCAGTCAGTTCAGAGGGCCTTATCTACCCCACCAGAGTACAGTAGGGATCAGGGTTCTGTTTCACCCACAGAGAGGGAACATAT